GGCTCTGCAGCGGGGCTGGGAAGACCTGATTTTCACTTTGCCAAGGTCACTTCCAGCTGCTCCTCCGTGAGGGCGGGCGACCCCGGGAGCTGCTGGGGGCGGTGGTGCAGACGACGTCTCAGCACTGGAGATGCCAGATGCTGGGAAGGGTCGCAGCCAGGGCAGACTTCGATGCCGGAGCCCCCGAGATGCACTGCAGGCCTGGGTGTCCCGCGGAGAGGAAGAGGAGGCCGCGCCTGGACAGTGACACCCTTTGTGAGGAGGCCTGTCGGGGGGGAACTGGATTTAGGAGAGGGGAAGGACACCAGTCGCTTCTCTTGGGAACACATTAAGTTTCAGGTGCTCAAGAGACACCTCAACACTCCCTCATTTCCAGGGACAAAGTTTGCTGTGCCCATGGGAACGCGGCAGGAGGTCCAGAGCCCCAACCCTGGCATCAGCCCACAGGAGTGGAGGAATCAGCCAGGGTGAGTGTGGATGGAGGACTCAGGATCTGGGGGAGAGAAAGAAGATTTTTATAAGACTGCCATGGCTGTGTTATATAGTAGAGCCCAAATATTTTAGAATAAAGGATGACTTGTCATGGTGTCCTCTATGTCCAGTGATCAATGAATTGTTCACACCTCCTGGTTGTCTGCTGAACACCTAAACAATGCTGAGTTACACGATTATCTCCGGAGAAGACAGACACTGTCATCACCTCTCCTTAATGGAAAGGCAAACCAAGCATTAGAGAGGCTGAGAGACCACTCAGAAAGGGCTGCGAACCTGGTCCTATGACATTAAAGTGGGTGACATTTTATCCACTACCCTGCACTCTGTTAACACGGGAATAAGAAGCTTACATTTGCTACCTCGATGCCGTCTAATTTAAGATGTCACTGACCATAAGAGGCACCATTCATATAAGAAAAAATTCCTTCCATTTAAATGAAGACATAATTATCACTTAGAGTACTCATAAATAATTCTGGAAAGAACTCATTTACCCTTCATTAAACAAAGATTTGTTTCATATATCAATGCGATACATTAGAAAAGGAAAATATAGGCGAAATAAATCAAGATTTTTCTAAAACTTTTTCATGTTTGAGTCCAGTGCTTCTGAAACATCTTTTTCTCAGTAATATTCGTATCAATATATTGTTTCACAAAAAACATTCATCCTTTGCAGGATGCAAAGTGTGGGGACGAAGCCTTTCTTAATCCTCAATTCAGCTAAAGGCCATTGCTGTGGGGCTGCTCAGCCTGCTTCACCATCAGGCAGGCTTTGCCCTGCTCCGACCCTGCCTCCGAACGCTGCTGCCACACCTGCTTCCCACCTTCCTCCACGCCCGCTTGCTTTATAGTTTTGCTCCCACATCTTCTTTTCTAGCAAATGTTGTTGCTGGGTGTCTGGGGCGCTGAGGGGGACAGACAGCTGCTTCGTGACTGCCACCTGGCCCACGGAAAGGGAAAGACAGCCGGGAGCAGAGTGTGCCGGATTTCACAGGAGTGGAGCAAACACCTCCCTCAGGGTCCATCTCGCAGCTCCTAAGGCAGAGGGAAGGGAGGGATGCGGGAGGCCAGCTCGGGCAGGGGCCACACACGCAGCTCTAAGCTGGCCTTCCTGCACCCGCAAGGCGGGCAGCCCCGCAGTTACCTAAAAGCTGTGCTGAAAGACTGCCAGTGACTGTGTTGTTGTTTGTGACTATCTGCATTTCTCACTTTCCTAAATCGGACCTGCCTGGTGTGTGTGATATTTCTGAAGCAATGCTCCACAGTTTGACGTTTTCTTGCTCCACCTAGGTTGGTTTACCAGTGCTTGTAAACGTCCCAACAGAGCGCCTGTGTGCAGAAGAGCCGCCAGGTCGGAGAGGCTGGAGTGTGCACCCTGTCCGATGGGGGCCACCTCTCAGGTCCACACGCTGTCAGCTCGCTGGCCAGGGAAGGAGCTGCTGCCCGCCGGCTGGGCCACCGCGCCTGTGTGGTCCTCGGTGCTTTCAAAGCGAAGCAGCGCACTCTAGTGGTGGAAACAGGAACCGCGGGCCCTTGCTTGTAGGCGTCCGGGCCACCTTGAGCGGTTAAATAAACAATTACACAGCTGGGTTCTGTTAGTGGCGCAGTCTTATATATAATAGCAAACGTGTCAAGACCCAAAACTTCTTCACAACTAGCAGCTGTACCCTCCAGCGACTCGCATAAACCTTCACAGCAACTTTTAGACCCTTTCACACAACTCGGGCGATGTTGGTAAGAATGTACGCATTTTGCCTAAGGACAGGTGTGTTTCCATGGTCAGAGGATTATTTATTTTTAGAATTACATCAGACAGTGTGACTCCTAAGCCATAATTCACCTTTCCCTACTACATGATTTTAAAAATTACTGTAAGAACCCTATCGACAGATTTATTGTCTTTTTATTGCTTATCCCTTCATGCCTCCTTAGCAATTTTTAACTGGCCAGGCTCCATGAAGAAAATGTTTTCCGTTCTCCCTTCTTGAAATGGACACTTTTCTGATCGTTTAACAAGTGGTGTTTCTGGGATAATTGTAAAATACAACATATAACCTATTCTATATTGCATATTAACAACTACATGTAAAGCTGCACTACTTTCCGAGGAAACCGACTTTATCTTGATCTTTGGTTTCCTGATTCTTTTGGCTTCTTAACCACAATTTCATACTTTTTAATTATTTTCCTATCTTGTTCCCACAGTGAATGGCAGCAACAGTATGAAGGGTTTCATCCAGAATTCCGTCTGCTCAGAATATCTTGTTATTTCCCGATTTCTAATGCATAATGAAACCGGCTATTCCTGAGCGTGCCCTCGGCTGGTGAGGTCCCCTCCCTTACCACCCCAGACCCTCGGTACTGTTGTCCCATTTCTGGCGGATTGAGACCTGGAAGCCCCACCTGAGGAGGCTGTGGGGACAATGACCCATGTAACATGTCCAGCACTGAGCAAAGTCCCCAGCCTCGGTAAAGATGCGTTTTAACACAGACTTTTTTCCAATGGACAGAAAAGAACATCCATTGTGAGAAAAGGATTCCCAGGAGGCCGAACAGGAGGCAGTCTCCTATCCTGCCCCCCATCTTACCCTAGCCTTGTTGCTGACTGTGCAGAACCACCCTGCAGCGGCACCAGTACCTCCCCGATTCCCTGGGTAATAAGCAAGCTGATGCTCTCCGAAACCTCATCTCCCTTGCTGCTTGGTTACCTTCTGAAAACCAAACTTCCAGCCTCTGAGCTGTGACTGCTCTGGCTGTGTCCTGAGTGCCCTGGCGAGGCTGGGTGGGTGCTTAGGACCTGGGCAAGGCGGGGCTGCAGGCAGCAACCTCCCACGGTGGAGGGCGGGTGCTGTCGAGGGGACCTCTGTCTGGTTTGACACCCTGTTTGGTTTCCTGTCGCTAAAAAGTTGCCACCAGTTTAAAGGCATTGGCAGGCACAAGCTTAGTCTCTCAGGGATCAGAGGCCAGAACCCGCGTGGGGTTCGCTGGGCTCTAATGAGGGCTGCATCCCCAGGAGGCCCAGGAGAGCCCGCCCACTGCCCCCACCCCTGCCCTGTCCTGTCTCCTCGGCTCTGACCTCCCTAACACAAGGGCCTGCAATGCTCAGGGCCTCTCCGCCTACCCAGCCCCAGCCCCTAACGCCAACCATCTCTGCTAAGTCTGTTCTGTGTGATCGTAACAGCTGACCTGTTTCATGAGGAAGTAAGCCTCTTCCAGGGGAAAGTTATTGACCTCACTCACCTGTTACTGTCCTAATACACTGAAAATATGCATTTGGAAATATTGTAGAAAAGGCCAGATGAGTGGATAAAGACAATATGGCACTTACACACCATGGAGCACTACTCTGCCATGAAGAAGGATAAACGAGTCATTTGTAGGAAAATGGATGCACTTTGAGACCACAATGTTAAGCGAAATGAATCAGACACACAAGCTTAAATATCACATGGTTTCTCCTATATGAGAAACCCGAAATATAATTAATTTAAATGGCAAAATAAAAGATAGATAGTAGGACACAGGAAAATGATCTTTTCCAAATGGAAAGGGGACTAAGTGCCATCATCTACAGACAACTACTGTCCTCCTGAAAAAGAGCTCTTGGCTTGATCCTGGGCCTTCATGGAGACTGAACACTTCCCCATGGGACACCAGCTCACCTCATGGGATGCCAGTGTGACCTGATCAGCCCATCGTGGATTGGGGCTGTCTGACCCACTGAGTCATAAAGTTGGACGTGCACACCAACGATCCGTCATCAAGTAGAAGTGGTGTTTGTGTTCAGGCCCAAGCAGGTTCTGAAGACACAAGTCAGCTGCATGAGGAAGTGGCCCAAATGCCCATGGTTCCTACTCCTGCTATCTGCCTTCTGTCCCAGCCCATGGCCTCATGGAGAGCACACTGCAATCAGATGACAGAGGACGAGAAGACTAGGGTCTGGCCTACATATGATTCTGCACGTTATACAGGCACCACCAAAACCAGACAGCTGCAGTACCAGTCTCTTTCCAGGATATCCCTGAAGGAAACAGGGAAGGGAAATCTTCACAGTGGGCAGAACTTTGGACATTGCACCTGGTCGTACATTTTGCCTGGATGAAAATATGGCGAGGAGTGTGACTATACACTGACTCCTGGGCTGTCACCTTTGGCCTGGCTCGATGGTCAGAGAGACGGAAGGGCATGACTGGAAAATGGGTGACAAAGATATTATGGGACTAGGTACGTGAGTAGGCCTCTCATATGAGCAAAGGACTTAGATATTTTTGTCCCATGTAAATACTCAACAACAAAAGGTGTCCTCAACAGGAATTTAATGATCAAGTGGCTAGGACGACCCACTCTATGGCTAGCAGTCAACCTCGTTCCTCAGCCACACCATCATTACCCAACGGGCTCATGAACAAAGTGGACACAGAGGCAGGGATAGAGGCTATGCATGGGCTCAGCAATGTGGACTTCCACTCACCAGGGCTGCCCTGCCTGCCGCCGCTGCTGAATGCCCAGTCTGCCAGCAGCGAAGACCAGCAGGAGTCCTGGTATGGTACTCTTCCCCGGGGTGATCAGCCTGCGACCTGATGGCAGATTGATTATATTGTTCCACTTCAATCATGGAAGGGCCGGGACTTTGTCCCTCCTGAAACAGAGACTTACTTTGTGTGTTGATTTGCCTTCCCTGCATGTGATACTGCTGCCCCAAACTGCCATTCATTATGGAATGCTGCGTCCACCACCATGGTAGTCCTACAGCACTGCTTCTGATCGAGGAACGCCCTTCATGTCCAAAGAAGTGAGGCAATGGGCTCATGCTTGTGGAATTCACTGGTCTTACCATATTCTCCACCACTGAGAAGAAGCTGGGTCATAAGACAGTGGAATGGCTTTTTTAAGATCCAATTACACGTGCCATCTAGGTGACAATACCTTGCAGGGCTGGGGCAAGGTTCTCCAGAAGCCAGGATATGCTCTAAATTAGCGTGCAATACATGGTGCTGTTTCTTCCATAGCCAGGATTCACAGGTCCAGGAATGAAAGGGTAGAAATGGGAATAGTACTGTTCACCATTCCCCATAGAGACCCACTAGCAAAATGTTTTCTCCTTATTCTTGTGGCCTTACACTCTGCTGGCCCAGAAGTCTCAGCTTCAGAAGGGGGAAGGCTTCTACCAGGAGGCACAACATGACTTCATTGAACTGGAAGATGAGGCTTTCCTCTAGCCATTTTGGGCTCCTCATGCCCCCGAGTCTACAGGTTAAAAAGGGAATTACGAGGGCCAGGGATTTAGCTCAGTGGTTCTGTCTCCTGCCTCGCAAGCACACGGACCCGAGTTCAATCCCCGGTACCAAAAACAAACAAACAAAAAAGGTTTCAGTTTTTGGGGGCTGGGGATTTAGCTCTGTGGTTTCACCACCTGCTGTGCAAGCAGAAGGACCTAAGTTCTATCCCTGGTACTCAAAAAAAAAAAAAAAAGGGAATTATGGCAAGGGTGATGGATCCAGGCTACTAAGGGAAATTGGACTGGAATTCCACAAGAGACTTAAGGAAGAGTATGTTTGGAGTGCAGAAGATCCCTTAGCATTCCCTGCTATTACCATCAGTGGAAAACTACAAGAACACAATCCAAGGGAGAGGACAAATGGCCCAGAACTTTCAGGAATAAAGTTATAGGTTGCCAGCCTTGTAAAGAACCAAGACCTGCTGAAGTGTTTGCTACCAAATGGGTAGTAGAATAAGGTAGTTATAAACACCAACCATGATTGCATGACCAGTTACAGAAACAGGATTGTAATTGTGTGTTTCTTTCCTATTTTGTTAATATTGTTGTGCATATATACACATAGATTCAGCAAATATCTTTTGTTTTCTTTCTTTTTGCATTCCTACACCATGTAACATAACACAATTGCCTTACTACTGGGAATTAAGTATTGTTTAATCTACATTATAATATTTAAGGAGAAGAGTAAGCATTGCCCAAATAAAAGCTTTGCCTCCTATTTTGGAGAGGGAATCAGTGCATTTTCTATTATATACAGGATAGTTCTATCATGTTGTATAGAATATGAACTTGCTATTGCTGGGATTCGGAGATTAAGTATGGTTTAAGGAAATGCATTTGGCTGTTGAGTTGACAAATGGTGGGTTGTGACTGCTAATCATGATTGTCAACTTGATTGAATTAAGAAAGGCCTAGTGGATCGGTAAGGCACACATCTGGGTGTGTCTGGGTGGGTCTTTTCAGAGATGATTGGCATGTTGGCCAGCAAACTGAGGGTGAAAATCCCACCCTAACTATGGGTGCCAACATCCAATAGCCATGAAGCCTGGATGGAAAGAAAGGAGGAGGAAGTCAGCCTGCCTTTGAAAAGCTCCACGCTGCTCAAGTAGGTGCACCTTTTGCTATTGCTGTCCTCAGTGGACATCAGCCTCCAGCTTCCTCAGCTTCCAACATGGACTCGCGCCAGTGACTCCCCATGGTGTGTCCAGACCATCAGTGTCAGTCTGACATTGCATCCTTGATCCTTCTTGTCCTGCAGATTCCAGCTTCTCAGACTAAGCAGTACTGGGTTCTCTGTCTCTCCAGCATGGAGACCATCACCGTGGACTGTCCTGCTGGGACCTGTGAACCTACCTGTTAGTTACTTTTCTCTCCTTGCTGAGACAAAATACCCAACACTCAAAGTTAAAGGGGAAAAGGTGTATTTGGCTCACAGTTCGTAGAGGTTTCATGGGTCCAGGAATGAAAGGCTGGCTCCATGGCAGACAGGCCTTGCAGAGGAGAAACAACATGGTATGCACAAGGTAGCAAAGACCACAAGAGAGTTTAACAGCATCTTTCTGCCTCTTTTATTTTATTCAAACTACTGAGATTAGAGTGGTGCCAAAGCAATCACTCTCGTGTAGTGGTTTAGTAATCACATGCCTTTAATCCCAGAATCATACACTCTAGATTCAGCCACCCCCAAAATAGCCCCACCTCATTCACAAGAGGCTTTGGGGGACCATCTAAACACAAGCCACAGCACTGCCTAATAAGCCCCCTTGCATAAATATATATACTTTCCACTACTTCTGCTTCTCTGGAGAACCCTCATACACTCGTTGGAATGTAAAAGGGTGCAACCATTTTGAAAAATAGTTTAACAGTTTCTTAACAGATTAACCATAAAATTTTTATAGGACCCAGCAATGCAATGCCAAAAAACTGCTCAAGAAAAATGAAAATGTACAAGAGAAGACATATGATTGTTCATAACAGCATTATTCATAATGCTAAAAAACTAGAAACAATTCCCTCATCAAACAGGGACCAAAGAGGCAAATGTACACATACAGTGGGATGCTGTTCAGCAGTGAGAAGGAACTCACTGCTGATCTGTGCTACACCGTGGACCTACCTACTGCAGGACATTATGCTGGGGCACCACACCAACAGCAGAGGAAGAGCCTCCAAATAGCTGCTTCTCCAGAAAAGTAAAAAAGAAATCAGCAAAATTATCAAAATCAGCTCATTCACCACGCTGGGGATTAACCAGAGACTCGCTACAATCTGGGACATGTTCACTCAAGGAAAACAACTGAACTTCAGACAATCACTGAGTTTCTGTGCCTGTTCTGTCCCTAAGCCCCTCTGTCCAGCTGTGCAGTCATGAGAACCAACAGCCCCTCTAAGATAAAAACAGCAGCATTACAACCTCTGGGAAGGAACAAGGAATTTGGAGCCTCCAGAGTTTCCCATTCCCAGAGAGGCGTGATTATTTGATCTGCATAGCAGTTCCCCGGGAATCTCTACTCATAGGATTTATATGTATGCGCTTGCCCTCAGACCTGACTTTTACTGAAATGGCCTGTTCTCCAGGAATTTTGTAGCTCTCTGTTTTTTAAACTTGTTACTCTCTGAGAGGCAGTACTACCCATTGGTGTTACTATGAGGCTGACCAGAAAATTTCGGGGAAGATTGCTGAATGAGATGTGCATGGGGGCTTTGAAAAGCTCTGACAATGTATTTCATTGTTTATAAGGTTGTTACAATGAAAGGCCTGAGGAGGTCCTGAGCTCTCACCTGAGGGCTTAAAGCTTTGACCAACCCAGAAGTGAACATTAAGGCGGAATTTTTCACTGCCGGAGTGTGGAAGGTGCATGCAAAGCACCCTGGCAGACTGGGAGATGTGCTCCAGACACTGAAGGAAATTTCATAGCCATCAATAGCTGACCACTAAGCTAGCAGGGCAAAGACTGCCTCAACAAAAACAAAATTATGCATTTAGCTCAGAAAAGTCACTAAACAAAGAACTATCAGTAATAATCACAAACACTAAGGAGGGAACAGAATTTGATTTCAGGTAACGTTATATAATTTTAAATGTACAGTTTTCAACAAGGAGTTATTAGCCATGCAAAGAAATAAGATATTAGACTTAATAGACAAATATGTAATCAACTAACTCATATCTTAAAAAGGAACCCACCGTTAAAAGGAACCCATCATAGGGCCAGGGATTTAGCTCAGTGGTTCTGGAGCCTGCCTTGCAAGCGCAAGGTCCTGAGTTCAATCCTCTGTGCCAAAAAAAAAAAAAAAAAAAGAACCCATCATATCCTTGAAAGGAACCCATATCTTAAAAACTAAAGCAAAGTATGATCTCACCAAAGAGAGAATGCAAAGAAAGCAATAGACATTATAAAAAGGATCCAAGGGGCAGGGGATTTAGCTCAGTGATTTCGCCTCCTGCTGCACAAGTGCAAGGACCCGAGTTCGATCCCGGTACCAAAAAAATAAAATAAATCAAAATAAAAAGGATCCAAGTAGAAAGACTGGAGTTGAAAAATATAATAATGGAAATGAAAAATGCATTAGAGAAGCTTGGCCATATATTTGAATAGGCAAAAGAAAGAACCAGGACCTGTAAATATAAATTGAAACTACCCATAGGAGGAACACAAAGGAAAATGAACAGAGCCTTGGGGCCCTGTGGGACTCTAGCAAGTGTATAAACACATGTATCATATGACTACTTGGAGAAGAGAAGAGAAAAGGAGACCAGAAAAAAATCTTTTGAAGAAATATTGGCTAGAATCTGCCCAAACTGGTGAACTAAACTAATCTACACAACCAATCAGCTCAACAAATTCCAACTAGCATAAACTCAAAAGAGACTCATGCCTAAATACACCGTAATCAAAGTGCCAAATCCCAAAAGCAGACAGAATTTTGAAAGACAGAAGACAGGATATTTCTCACATACCACAGGTCCTCAGTAAAATTAACAGCTAACTTCTCATCTGAAACCTTGGGAGTCAGAAAGCAATGGGAGGACATACTCCACATCCTAAAAGACAAGAACTGCTAACCTGGCAAAACTTCAGAAATGAAGAGAAATCAGCAATACATTTGTCAATAGCTTATGTGTCTACTCACATTTAGCAGTATACAAAAATTTAGGGGATACTTTTTTAAAAAACATAAGAAGGTTCTGATATTAACTGTACATACTTATTAAATTTTGATATTGAGCAAAAGGTTTTGCTGTGTCTTTAGTTTAATACAGATGCTTATTTCAGAAGGCAGATTATGAACATCAAAGTTATTTCAAGTCATAGAGGAAGAAATTTAAAGTTCACCCACCAATGATCTTCATAAAATCTCCAGAGAAAATGAATTAAGGCAACATGTTAATCTAATCTGAGTATTTTTACCTAAAATCAGAATCAGAATGTTTTTGTTCATTGTCTTTCAGCACTATAATTTCACCAAAAATTTGTTTGGGTATTTCACTTACATAGTGATACAATCTAGCAATTCTGTTTGAGATACTTATACTAATATAGCTAGAAATGTTTTCTATTTCCTGAATAAACACACATACATAAACACACACACATTCTATTTGTTTTTTATCACATTCTACCTAAATGAAAAGCAACTGAGTTGGCAATAACCTGACTTGATTATAAAGCAGCTGATAACCTTTAAAAATGCCTCAGCCTTTGTTGGTTTAGTTGTCTATTTTTGCACATCAATGAACTTGAATTCCAAAGCTGAGCCAGATTATAACTGTTACCTTTATAGAAGATCTCCTTGAGCCAGATCTGGTGCTTTCCTCATGTCTAATTCTCCGAACAGCCCAGAGGCAGACGTCATTGTTACCCCCATGTTGTAGATGAATAACACAAAGATCAAGTAGAAAAAGACAAGGCTGGGGTCTGAGCCAGACCCCCAAGCCACTGTGACCGAACGAGAGGACTTAACCCTGAAGTTTGCCTTCCATGTGGCTCACTCCTCTGACTGCTCTCCAAGTCACCAGAGATATCCCTGTCACAGAGTAAACAGACACTTAACGCCCTTACCTGAGTTGACCCTCGGCTCCCTCCCTGTTGTTCAGCCCCCTCTCCTTCCTCCCCAGCAGAAAACTCTCCTGCTTGGCCTCCCTGGGAAAAGGCGGAGCCCTACCAAATAGTTCTAAGCTGTTGTCTTGCCTTGTTTCATTCATCTACTCACTGATCCAGCAAATACCCATGGAAGCTCTGCGGGGAACCAGCGCTGGAGGCCGTTCCAATCTGGCAGTGATCGAGAGGCAGCGTCAAGCAGACGACCTGACATGGTGACACAGTTGTCCCTTGAAGTTGAGAAAGCCCTGGAAAAGAGAAGCAAACGGTGCCCGTGCCTTGGTGAAGTGTGGTGGCGAGGTGGGGTGCTGCTCAGGGCCACTTTCCTGAGGAAGCAGCATTAAGTTGTTGCTGGGGAGGGAAGTGGAAGTTGCCTCTCGGGAGAGAATCATTCTGGCAAAGGCTCCAGGAAAGCAGATAAGAGCTTTTGCAGATAGGAAGGCCAAGAGATGCAGGGAGGAGGAAGGGAGTGAACTGAGATGTGTTATACGCACGTGCACATGCCGTGCTGACACTGTGTACTGTGAACATGTACTGATAAAAGTTTGCAATGAGGAGAGCAGATAGAAGGCCCCGAACGAGTAAAAGTCGGGCATTTTCCAAAAGCTCAGGAAAGGGCAGAGCCAGATGGGAGGCTAAAAAGCAGTGAGGCCCAAATCACATAGCGCCTTCCCGTCTGCAGCAAGGGTTTTGCAGGTCCCTGAGGAGAGCAGTCACTGAGGGCTCTGAGCAGAGGAATGACAGGCTCGTTTTCACAAGGCTATGCTGGCTGCAGCGGGAAGGAGGGATTGGGGTGGCGCTGTTGGGAGACCCTCAGCACTCTTCATTGGGCCTACTTCTATAGCCTTTAAATACTCTCTTTATTTCCATTATTGCTCTTCTGTAATGTGGCTGATGTGATCTTCCCCCCTCCCAACATCTTTGTTGCATTTTTAAAAATTCAAGTGTAATTCACAGTTACACACTCATTGTAAAAACAATGTTGAGCATAAAATAAAAAGTGAGCATCTACTTTGGTTCTCCACTACAAAGCACTTCTCCCCGCAGAAGTGAGGGTCAGTCTGGAACCCACTTTTATGCATTTCCATGTCAAAGTGCAAAAGTGAACAGGCTGTCATCAGGATATTTTGGGCCATTTATTTCCATGTGATGATGTTGGGATAAATGTAAAGCTGTCCTTATTAAAGACAGTCG